TTGCTGAACCCCAGCTCAGGATCCTGCTTCTACATACCCGTGCTGGCCTCTTTCCAGGACTGCCTCTCCACAGGGAGGCAAGAGGACGGAGCAGGAGGGGCAGAGGCTGTGGGCCCAGAAGGCCCACCTCCATGTGGCAGGGCATGGTTCCACTCACCTTCCTACTTCCTGTGTAATCTTTCCCAGAAGAGCTACGAGACCTTGAACATGCTTACAGGGATCAGGGACATTGTCAGGGGCCAGTTTGCAGCTCCCTGCCCCAGGGCTAAGGCTAACCCAAAACGAGCAGGGCCAAGTCAGCATTTCTGGGCTTCCTGGCCAAGAAGGACTACGGTATGGGGGAGGGGGGTGCTGTGCAATGTGGGAGCATGGCCTGCCAAGTGGTGTCACCACTGGACTCACAGCTCACAGAGGCTTGCCTCCCTACAGCCATCATGAGAACCACAGTGAGCGCCACCTAGCGGGAACCCATACATCTACTATCGGGTGACTTCCCTGTAGGCCAGATGGGGCTGGGAACCTTTCATCCGAAGCCTCCTCTGGCTCACAGACGCTCCCCCAACCCCCATGAGAGGAAACCCGCCACCTAAAAGAACTGGTTTAATTCAACTCCAGTGCCAAGGGAGGCTGGAAGCCTGAGAGAGGTCAACAGTTCCCAGCACTGGCCATCTGGAATGGCTGCCCCATAGGCAAGCTGGGATGGTAACCCTCCTGGGAGAGGGGCTATGGTGTTGGCTTTTAGTCAGGACACTTGGGATTCCATGGAGAAAGCCAAGGGCTTCAGGCAGGGGCTGCCTCCTTGGTGGAGTTCAGGGGCCACAGCCTCGGTTAAGGCACTAGAGAATGGGTCCTGGGAACCAGGCCAGGCAACTCTGGGCTACAGAGCTTGGAGAAAGAACTGGACTACTTTCCCTTTTCCTTTATCATGGTGCCAAGGGTCAGCAAAGCAGACCACTTCAGGATATTGGAATTGCTACAGAGAGGCCACAGGTCCCCAAGGCCAGAAGAGGTGGGATGGAAAGAAAGACATCTTCGGAGAACAGTGTGCATCTAATGGGGGGGGTGTCTCAGTCCCAAGGGGCTCCTATGGTCTAGTCCAGATTGCTCAGGGGCCCCATAGGAGGCCCCTACTCTGGCCTCGTCGTGCTGCCACAGCTATCAACTTTGGGTATCAGCCCATCCTTGTTGGGGTTCCTATGGCTGGATTCCAGAGACAGGGCCGGTGAGCTGAGAAGGTCACACCCAGAAGGTAGGCCTCTCAGCTGGCTCCTCCCTCTGCCTGGCCTGCATCTCCTGTCTGCACGGGTGACTACAGAAGCAATCACCCCAACAATGGGCTAAAGTAGTGCTCAAGCATGGGGGCTTGCTCAGCAGCCTGGGGTCCCCTGGGGTGAATCAGTGGGGCTTCCTTTGTCCACAGATTACTTAGAAAAAGAGAACATAATAAATATACTAGTCTTTCCTTAAAAAAAAAAAAGTGTTTTAAATGCATTTTTCCCTGAAGATTTCCAGTGTATTCCATAATGCTTAAAAAATAGTCTCCCCAAAAATATATCTTTAAAGCATTTGACACAGTGGTATTGTGGTATAACTGGCATTGAAAGTGGACGAGGGACTGTGTCCCATGGCCGTTGTCAGTGTGAGGCCCAGCAGCTGGACACATAAACGCCCCCCAGCATCACACATGGGTGTCTGGGATGCCAGGTCCTCACGGGGGTCAGATCTTGGGTTCAAGCTATGACCCTCCATCAAAGGCTTAGACAAGATGGATGCATACCCTCCAGGGTGGGAAGGGGCCCGAGGCAGCTGAGGGGCTGGCGGTGGCCTGGAGGCTGGAAGGAGCTGGCTGCAGACCCCTTCCCTTCTTCTGTAAGTGCTCCCTGGGCTGCTGCCCTTACCAGACTTCGCATTTGTGCTGAGGGTTCATGGGGGAGCCAGGAGGGCAGTGAAAGTGTTCTGAGAACTCCTTGGAATTAGAGACAGAGCCGATGACCCGAAAGCGGGAGGGGCTGTGCGGGTCGGTGATGAGGCCTTCATGGGAGCTCTCAGGTGTGCGGACGGAGCACCAGACCTTGGGGTGGGGTAGAAAAGGGGAATCTGGGGTCACCGTGGGGCCCTGAAGCTGCTCCATTGGCCCCACCATGACAGCAGCAGAACGATCCTGAGATCTCAGGGAGCCAGGAGGACCTCCAAGTGGATTTCTGCCCTTCCCTGCACCTTGCCTTTGTATAGGGGAATGTCCCAAAGGCAGTCCGCTGATTTAGGAAGGTGCCATTTGAGGGGAACCTGCCTTTGGCTCTGGAGCTCTTGTACTGCCCACGATGGAGCACACCCGCCTTTGCTCCCAATGAGCTCACCTGTGCAAATCCCAGGAAGAAGAGCTGGTTGTTGGTGAGACCCAGGGTGGGTAGTGTCTGCTCGGCTCCGTTCTTCTTCACCCAGTTCTGGTAAGCCTGGGAGGAGAGAAAAGCAGAGTCGAGACATGGTGGAGGTGATTATGGGCCACGTATGCAGGTTCAGGGGCAGAGGTGGGTGCCTGGGCGTCGGCTTCCTTCTATGTTCTCCTTCAAAAGGGGATGAGTTCAATCCTATAGCCTAAAACACACACACTCCATCATGCCAGCTGTCAACTCTTTGCTTCCCATTCCAGCCTCTCTCCAGTGTACACCCGGCCAGATACCCATAATACATCTCAAACTCAACACAGCGCCGGGCAGTGGTGGCACATGTCTTTAATCCCAGCACTTGGGAGAAAAGCTAAGAGTTCTCAGCCTCGCAACTCAGGTCAGTTATGCTAGCCCTGGGACTCGAACCCAGAACCCTCTCAGTGTCCCTGTTGTGATCTGAATGTGAAATGCCCCCATAGGCTCACATGTTTGAACATTTGGTTAACAGATGAACTTTCTAAATCCTAACTGCAGAGGCAATGTGGCTGGTCAGCTTCCCCGCTCCCCCACTCCTGCCACCTCACCTTCCCACCATGACAGACTATCAGCCATTGCAAACCAGAACAAGTCCTTTGTTCCTCAAGTTGTCAGGCGTTTTGTCCCAATGAGAGACGTGACCGATACAGTCCCTCTCCCATGCAGGCCCCTCCTGTCTGAAGTGGTAGTGGCTTCTGGGAAGATTGGCCAGGCTGTGCAGTGGGCCTGGTCCTGCCCTGTGTCTCAGGAAGGCAGGTTCCAGCAGAAGCCTTCTAAAGGCTGAGTTCTGATGCTCACAGCTCTCTCAGTCAACATTTAGTCACTCTACCCCATTTATCACCCCAGCAAACCAAGGCTCATGGAACTGCTGTTGTACTGATCCTCTACTGAGGAGACCCTTGAACAGACTCAGACCCAGGGGGAGCACACATACCTTGTAGGCTGCCTTAAGTCCCCCGTTGTCAGCGATGTTCTCGCCAAGGGTGTGCCGACCATTCACGGGCTCCCCATTCACGCTGTAGTTGCTGTATTGCTGAACCATGCACTCAGTCTGCTGCTTGAATGCCTCCACGGATGAGTTCTTCCACCAGGGTCGCAGGTTCCCGTCCTTGTCATACTCCCGACCTGTGGAGCGAGGACAGTGGTCACACAGTGGGACCTGCCATCCTCCAGGCCACACGGATGGGACTAATCAACCTATGGGATGGAAGCTTGGCCAATCATACCAGAGACCACCCAGGAAAACCATCCAGGCTACTGATGGCAAGTTCAAGGGCACAGAGGATTGGGTTGGCTTTTAATACTGGCTAAGGACCCCTAACCCCAAGGAATACATTCCTAGTCAGGGCTGGCAGGGCCAGGATCACAGGCAGGCCCCAGCTTTCCCTTCTGGGCTATGAGGTCCCCAAAGCAGGAGGCAATCACTTGGAGCCTGGCTATTAGTTAATGATGAGGGTTTGACTATCATTTCTCTGACTACAGTCAGACCAGAGAAGTTTCTAGAATGGTAGAGTGTGGAATATTCCTTTAAATTATGTCACTGTGACTGGTTTAATAAAGAAGCTGATTGGCCAATAGGTGGACAGGGAGAGGTTAGGTGGGACTGGCAGACAAAAAGAGATGAGAAAAAGAAGAGGACTCTCAGGAGTTGAGAGGAGATACTTGGGAAGCAGGAGATAAACTTGTCATACTGAGAAAAGGTACCACCATGTGGCAGAGCCTAGATAGGAAATACAGGTTAATTTAAGTTATAAGAGCTAGTGACAAACTGAGCTATTAATATGTCTCTGTGTGGTTATTTGGGAACTGTCTGGCGAGTTCTGTAGAGAACTGCACACTCCCTGCTGAACACTATTGCCAGCCTCTGAGTAAAAGCAGTTTCCATGAACAGGGGCTTCACAGTAACCCCAACCTTCCCACCACTACACGGAATCCTCACGTTCCCAGCAGAGAGAAGAAAGGTGTCGACCTGCAAGGGGACTATTGTAAGAAGCTCATACCAAAGGCAGCAGAGCCTAGCTTCGAACACCGATCCTTCTGTACTAAGATCCTTAGAAGTAAAGGGACCAGGAAACAGATTGGGGTGGGGAGCAGGAAGCTGGAGGGTTCTGCCTGAATGGGGGCCTCAAGCAGTGTGTACCTTGATCGTCGAAAGCATGAGTCAGCTCATGGCCCACCACGACACCAATGCCACCAAAGTTCAAGGCGCTGGAGGAGGAACACACAGGTGAAGGTGAAGCCCAGCTAGGTGACCTCTGATCCCAAGACATGGTAGAGTCCCCCAGAGGGCTTTCTGGGAATGTGGCTCCTGGAGACAGCAGGAGGCTGGGCAGAGTTAGCCACAGTTGACTATGCCCTCTGGGAGCCATGCACGAGTAAATCACCTCAGCAGAGCTGGGTCTTAATACTCATGAATGAATTTAGACTGGGGCCAGGCCAGCCTGTCTGCCTAAGTGTCACACAGTTTATACCTAGCCTGGGATTCAAACCCAGGGCTGTGGCTTTCAAAGCCTGCCTGCCTGAGACACAGGTATAATGTCTGCCCTCAAGCTGTAGTTTTTGTTTTTTTTAAAGATTTTATTTATTATGTATACAATGTTCTGCCTGCAGGCTGGAAGAGGGCACCAGGTCTCATTATAGATAGGTTGTGAGCCACCATGTGGTTGCTGGGAATTGAACTCAGAACCTCTGGAAGAGCAGTCAGTGCTCTTAACCTCTGAGCCATCTCTCCAGCCCCCCAGCTGTGTTTTTTTTTTTTTTTTTTTTTAAGATTTTAATTATTTATTATGTATTCAGTCTTCTGCCTGCATGCCAGCAGAGGGCACCAGATCACATTCCAGGTGGTTGTAAGCCACCATGTAGTTGCCGGGAATTGAACTCAGGATCTCTGGAAGAGCAGTCAGTGCTCTTAACCTCTGAGCCATCTCTCCAGCCCCCCAGCTGTGTTTTTTTTTTTTTTTTTTTTTAAGATTTTAATTATTTATTATGTATTCAGTCTTCTGCCTGCATGCCAGCAGAGGGCACCAGATCTCATTCCAGGTGGTTGTAAGCCACCATGTAGTTGCCGGGAATTGAACTCAGGATCTCTGGAAGAGCAGTCAGTGCTCTTAACCCCTTGTCATCTCTCAAGCCCCAGCTGTGTTTTAAGATGCTGTCCAGAGAGATCCTGACTCCATGACGTGCTCCTCCAAGCCCCACTATGCAGGGACATTAGAGCCAAGAGAGGCCAGAAGGGAAGGGCCTGGGACCACAGATTTTCATGCACTATCTCTGTCTCCCAGTTTCTGGCATCCTGGGCTTCTGGGCAGCAATGGCCCAAGGTGACTGGCTGGCTAAGTGGTTGGCTATGGGGTCTGGGCCAGACTGGCTTGGGGGTTGCTGAGATTGGTGAACAGTTGGGATAAGAGCAGCAGACATGACCTACTTGGGTGAAGAGCGGGTGTAGAACGGTGCCTGCAGGATTCCAGCTGGAAACACAATCTCGTTCTTGGTGGGCGAGTAGTAAGCATTCACCATGGGTGGCGTCATACTCCACCTGCAAGCCACAAGCACACATGAGACCTCTGGCAAACCTGGAAGGGGAGGTGGGCATGGCTTAGAGACCATCGTCAAGGGTCTTTAAATGTGGAACCTGAGCTGGGCGTGGTGGTACAAGCTTTTATCCGGCCACATTGGGGGGCAGAGGCAGGTGGATTTCTGTGAGTTTGATGCCAGCCTGGTCTACAGAGTGAGTTCCAGGACAGCTGGGACTATACAATAGAGACTCTGTCTCAAACAAACAAACACACAAATGGATAAAAGTGGATTCTGGGGCTAGAGATGTAGTTCAGAATGGGGAAGTGTTTGTCTAAATTGTACAAAGTCCTGGGATCAATTCCTAACCCTGCATAAATGGGGATGGTAGTACATGCCTGTAATCCCACCGTTCAAGAGCTAGAAGCAAGCCGGGTGTTGGTAGCGCACACCTTTAATCCCAGCACTCGGGAGGCAGAGGCAGGCGAATCTCTGTGAGTTCGAGGCCAGCCTGGGTTACAAAGCGAGTTCCAGGACAGCCAAGGCTGTTACACAGAGAAACCTTGTCTCAAAAATAAAGCTTAAAAATCTGTTTTTTTGTTTTATTTTTTGTGACAGGGTTTCTCTGTTAGCTTTGCCTGTCCAGAAACTTGCTTTGTGGACCAGGCTGGCCTCAAACTCACAGAGATCCACTTCCTCTGACTCTCAAGTGCTGGGAATAAAGGTGTGTGACACCACTGCCCAGCTATTTTTTTATTATAAAAGAAACAGAAATATGCCAGGTGCTGGTAGCACATGCCTTTAATCCCAGCACTCGGGAGGCAGAGGCAGGCGAATCTCTGTGAGTTCGAGGCCAGCCTGGTCTCCAGAGCAAGTGCCAGGATAGGCTCCAAAGCTACACAGAGAAACCCTGTCTTGAAAAACCAAAAAAAGAGAGACCCTGTCTCAGAAATCAAAAAACCAAAACAAAAATAATAAGAATAAATATTCCTCCTTCCTAACCGTATGTCCACGTGAGGCTGGCTTTTCTATCTCTCCTTCAAAACAACATTTTATAGCAGATGAATGTAGAGGCCGACATGAGAATCCAGAATTAAACCAGAATTAAAGAAATCTGAAGAGGTTGTGGTATAGTTCAGTGGCAGAGGAGCACCCTGATTCCACCCCTACACTGTGTCCTGAAAAGAAATGTGCGATACCTCTGCTTTTATCACACACACACACACACACACACACACACACACACACAC